AAACGACCTGAATGTGGCTGTCTTTTACAATTGATATAAGAAAAGTAACAAACATTTATTTTTTGGCAGAATTTTTTAATGATGATTATTTTAAATTTTTGAATTTTCAAATTATGAGACATTGATCAAGGCATACATTAACACCCCATACAGAAGAAATAGGAATTTTCCGCGTTTTTGAAAAAAAATATATAAGTGAAAAGAAAATAAAAGCCAATTTCATCGTATCCTGGACTACGTTATGCACACAAAATATTCAATTTTGCATGCAAAAAAATTTTTTCGAAAAATGTTTGTTTGCGTACGAAATTCGATTTGCGGTTGAAAAAAAAATGTTGGGCCAAATTTTCAAAATTATTTTGTGTCGCCATCAAAAAAATGCCAGTCATACACTTTTCCATATATGGGAATTGTATGATAAGCATTTTTTTCAAAAAACGAGTTTTTATCACCAGACTGTTTTATTAGAATCAAACAGCCACAGAAACGAGTTTATACCGGTTTTCAACCATTTTTAGAAATTTTATGAAAATTGTATGACAAGCATTTTCCCACACACTTGATGTATGGAATTGTATGATAAGCATTTTCGGTGTATGGACGTCAACCCGGGTTGTCTGAATATGTTCATTAGCATTATGTTAGTTATAGCAATTTCCAAAAAGAGAGAACATTTCATAGTTTACATATTTTAGAAATTGGGTGCCGTCGTGAAAAAACAGTAGTATCATTAAAATGATTTTTAATTTTCAAATAAACTTTTTAAGCTCCTTGTTTTGCCTGACCCAAAACACTGCAGAATAAATCTAAATAAAGTAACAATTAAATTTCAAGAAAACTTAGTAAAAAACAGGAATTGCTTAGAGTTTGAAAACAGTAAAAAGACAGTTTTGATAGATTTTCGTAGAGTCGAAAAGAAAATGGATGCAAGTACCTTAAATATTGCTTTAAATAAATTTTGTCGATTAAAACTATAAGTCGATTTGAACAAATTTGAATAGTTGTTCCTACGTAAATTAGTACTATTTGAGCCATTCAACGAAATTTTTTCTCAATTGTATTTCAAAAAATTTAATTGTCTCAAACTGTTGAAATTTTCAGAATAATAAAGATGTGCTGTTTCGGCATTTGTTAATCCAGCTGTTTTCGAAAAAAAAATTGGCAAAAATATTGTTCTCAACACTGAGACAAATAGTTTGAGTTTTCTTCTGGAACACAAATAACGAAAAAGCTGTAATATGATACCACAATTGTCTCCAACTAGTTTTTATGAGATCCCTCATATGAAACAGAAAAACCGCGTCGTCGCAGAAAGTAAATCGCAAAAACAACATCCTAAACAATATCAGAAATTGTTTATAATTCTAAAAAAAAATTGTATTGCAAGTTTTTTTAATCCCGATCTCGTTCTTCACATTTTCCTTTTCTATGTTCATCTTCATCATTCAAACGAAACTTCTCGTATCAGAATGTTTGCTGAATGTTCCGACTGACTTTTAAGACATCTGAAATGTTGGTTGACTTTTTCAATGAAAAAGTAATCTATGCTCACACAATGTGAAGCGGAAAGTAATTGATTACTCAGCAAGTAAATTATTTCTAAGCTCAATAAGACTGCTCGTATCAGGACGAAGCCCTGACATTTTTTGACTGCCTCTTAAGGTCTATGGAGCAGTGATAAAATGAAAAAAAATAATTGCAAGAAATAAAAAATGAAACTTTTTTAATTTGAGATCTTTTGTGAAAATCATCCCCCCACACGCCACATAAAGTTCAAAGTGATATATTTCGCTCCTAGTAACAAATCAATTAAGTCCAATAAGCTCCCTTCAACCAATTTGGAACGATTTCTATGAGGGATTAAATCCCCGCTTACGCGTTAACAGCGCGAAATATATCGCGCGTTAATTGTCCGAAATTAGCCAAAATGACAATCTTTAAACCCTCATAACTTTACGAAAAACTATCACAAGGAAAATATCCTTTCAGAATTAAACTCAAAAATATAATATAAAAAAACTCCTTTCGAATAATATAAAAAAACTCCTTAAAAAATGGCTAGTTAAAAAGTGTATATTTATCTCAAGAAAAAAAAACACCGCTAGCACAAATACTAAGTTCTTTTTGTTACCAAAGGCGGAACAATAAATTGCGGCAAACAGTTTATTGTTCCGACTTTCGAAACAAAAGTAACGGAATATCTAAGCTCGGGAAGGGTGTTTCCTTCAGGCAAATTTCTACTTTTAACTAGCCGTTTTAGACGGATTTTTTTTGGATCAAACGTACAATATCCACCCCCACCCCCCCCCCCTAAGTGACCAACCGTAGAATTTCCCCCCTAGCTACATATTAAATTTGAAAATTAATTCTGTAGAATGTATGCATTTTGAACAAACGCGCACATAAAGTTGGTTGTCCTAATTTTATGTGGGATTGCATTTGCATGCACGTATTTTTAATCAAGTTTTTCTGAATAAACTTATTTTTTATTTGTATACTCAAAGTTATTTCCTGAAAAATCTGTATTTCTACCCCCTAAATAAATTTAGGGGGGGGGATTGTACGGTTGATCCATTTTTTAAATATCATTCGAAGAGTATTTTTGTCCTGAGCTTAAATTGAAAAAAAAAATCGATTTTTTTTTTCGTAAAGTTATGAGGGTTTAAGGATTGCGATTTTGGCTAATTTGATACAATTAACGCGCGATGTATTTTGCGCTGTTAGCGCGAAAGCGAAGATTTAATCCCTGATAGAACTCGTTCCAAATTGGATGAAGGAAGCTTATTTTCCTTAGTTGGTTTGTTACTAGGAGCAAAATATATCACTTTGTACTTTATGTGGCGTGTTGGATGATGATTTTCAGAAAAAAAGCCACAGAAAAAGTTCATTTTTATTTCTTAGAATTATTTTTTTTGCGTTATTACTGCTCCATAGACCTTAAGAGGCAGTGGGAACTTATTAGGGCATTTTAGTGCAAAATTTATCACTTGTTCCTTATATAGCATGTGCGGGGTTGATGTTCATTTCATTTTTTCATATTTAATTCTTTCATGTTATTTTTGCTCCATAGACCTTAAAAGGCAGTTAGAACATTCAGGGCTTCGGCCTGATACGAGCAGTCTTGTTTAACTATCGGGATTGAAATTTGAATCCCGATCGTTTGAAAATGTTTTCCATCTTTTATTCGGTCTTTCATAAGTTAAATAATCAACTCATGTCAGGGCGCAACAATTCACTTTAACAAATCACACCGGAATGCTCCATTTTCCCATTAAATTATCTGAAGTGTATTAAAAAAATTTGTACAGTTTTTCTTCTTTGTCCATTTTTAAGCGGAGCCAAGCTGAAATAACAGTTTTTTCAAACCAAGTAAGCGTTATTTGAACATATTAATTTGCGGCAGTTTTTTTTGTTGAATTTGAATTTTTCGAACTCAAGTTTTACTTAATGAAAAAAGCGGAAGGGGTTTCTAAAAAAACTTTCTGTTCCGCAGGAATTATCTACCTACAAGTTGGTTAAGGAAGATAACGTTTATTCAGAAATTGGCATAAAAAAAGATAAAAACGACAACAAGTTTCGATCGTTCTGAGGCTGTTGTTTAGAAAAAATAAATCAACAAAATTATACAAACAAACGGACCGAGTGAAGGATGAAATTAGAAAAAAGGTTTTGTGTGTTCATCTAATCATTAATGTTGAACACACAAAAACTTTTTTATAATTCAATGGGTCATTTCCAAACAGTCAGACTTCTCGTAAGTACTATGGACCAGAAAATGATGACCGATAACTCAGCCTAGATAGTTCTCTCTGTCAGAACAAAGTCAGTAATCAAAACAACAATATGGTTTATCAATCGTACTTGTGAGAAGCCAAATTAAGGAAAGCTGGTCCGCGAAGGGAGATGATTTGAGTGGAAAATGCACACCAATCTGAAACTATGGCCAAAATTGTGGATTAACTCGTTGAACAAAAACTGTGTTTCTGTTGAGCATTCGGATGTTCGCATAAACTTTTTTCCGACTTTCGAAGAAAAGGGAATATTTATGCTCGGTGTGTTTTATTATTCAGTCAATTTTCACCGATCGATAAAAAAATTTTCGACAAAAATTTTCTATACCCCATTGAAGATATCGACTTCCTGATTTCAAATGTTAAAAAAATATTTCACCTCGGATTATTATTTGTAAAGTTCTGGTGGCTTGCGTGGCGAATTATTCCGCTTAACAAGGTCATTCCAAATTGAATTGAGGCTAACTATTTGGTCGTATTAATTTCCAACGAATTGAAATTTTACACTTTGATAGTGTCCAAAATGTACAGGTTTTCAATATATTCTTTTCCCAAAAACTATTCGATATGAATTAAGGGAAGTCGGAACATTCAGGGCTTTGCCCTGATATACGAGCAGTCTTGTCTTATATTTAAATTTAATGACGAAACATGTCTTAAAACCAGCTCGAAACAATTTTTTGTTCCGACTTTCGTGGAAAGTGACCCAATAATTTTGCTCGGGGTAGTTTTTTGTCTCCAGTTAATTTTCGATTTTTTAAATAACCATTTTAAACGGAAATTTTAATAATAATTCGGAAGGCATTGTTGTTCTGAGCTCAATTTTAAAAAGATGTTTACATGTGATACATCTTTCGTATAAGTACGCGGAAATTTATGGGGAAACTGGCCAATTTGGGACAATTAAAGTGCGATTTATTTCTTGATATTGACGCGTAATCGGAGATTTAATTCGTCTCAGACGTTGCTCCAAAATGAATTGAGGCGTGCTAATAGTTTTTGACCAATAAAATTGTCAAGTTTACCAATTTGCCAACAATTTAGCATTAGCTATGGCTGGCGCTGTAATTTGAAGGTCATTCGATCAGAGGGTAAAGATTAAATTGCTAACATTGACATAAAGATATGACATGTGTTCTTTAGAAATAGAATCTGGAATAATCTTGAAGCCGTTTTGTGTTTAATAGGAAAAATTATCTACATCTTGTGTTTGCGTTCAAAGAAGACATTGAAGAACTTTGATGGTTCTTGATCACAAAAATCTACTTGAATAGCAAAGTAACAAAGTAAAATAGCTTGAAAACGGACCTAAAGTCGCCCAAGATATTTGCTCTTAGTGAGAGAAAGGTCGAACAACAATCAAAGATACCGTAAAGAATGACATTAATATAATAAAACAAACTGTTTTTGACAATCTCCGTGCAAGAACATCATGTCTGCAAAACTCAGTGTTCTTTTTTATTCCAAAATCATTTTCATTACTCCTCAAACTCGTTGTTCCGTCCAATCAATTTCGAGAAATTACGTATCTATTTTCGTTATGTGAGATTTAATCAGTTGAGACGAATGAATAGAAAGACTCAAACTCATTTTCATCAACAAAACTAGTAAAATATACCAGCTCAAAATGCTTATTGAGAGCATCACAAAATGTATGATCGTTATTACGGTTTTTTTTGTCGAAGTTGCAAAATGCAATTCAAAATCTGATGAGACGAGTAAGGAGCTAAGGAATCTGATGTCGAACTACGACAGGAGATTCAGGCCCTCTTTCGGTGGAGAACCGGTGGTCGTTAATGCTTCAATACATTTCAACAGCCTTGAAATGGTCGATAAACCGATGAAACTTGAAGCACACATCACTTTGAGACTGCAATGGACTGACGAGAGATTGAAAGTTTCGAGTGACATAGGTCAAATCGAACTCACAACTAGAGGTTTTGCTGGCGAAATTTGGACTCCAGGTGATGTCTTAAATCATTGAAATCAAGACGCATAAATTTATCTTTTAGCACAATCGTTTTTACATTGAAATGTTTCCCTTACTTCATTGAAATAAATACACCTAAAACATATCAGTTAGCACAATTGTTCTTTTAGAAATATAAAACATTGATGCAAAAATCATCAAAAGGTTTTGGAAGGTTTCTTAGAAAAACATACATCTTTCAGCTCAATAATGGATTGTTAAAACCGAATTTTCAAAAATTGGAACTAAATTAAAAGCGGCTCAACCCATTTTTTTCCATGAAGATCTGTACTACCCTGGAACGACATCAGTGGCAGTGAATGATGAGGTCGAGTATGTTCGGCTCAATTCTGAAGGAACGGTGATATACTCGCGAGAACTAAAATTCGGTTCCATTTGTAGTCTTCTTGATTTACACAACTTCCCTCTTGATACACAGGTTAGTGATATATTTTTCAAATCAAAATTCAATCAATCACTGTTACATTTTGTGCATAACATAATGGCAGTAGTTAGAAGCTTCAAATCTTGCTTTTAGAAATTTCGGTGGAAATTAGGAAGGTTTTTACCAAAACTGGTAAATTATTTTTAGTCCAACCAGTCAACAAATGAAAGATATTTGGACTCAGGTGTGTTTTGTTCCGATTGCATGAAGCTGTTTACAATGGCAACTCTTTCGTTGTTCACGTGGTTGTTCTGCATGTAGTACTTTTTTCGATGCCATTCTTTTCATTAAGCTCCCGATAAGTGTTTTTCGCTACACAAATTTTCCACAGCTATGGAATGTTTTTGACCAAAAATTTAGTTTTAGTTAACAAAAATCTATTAATATCATTTTTATCCATAAAACTTTGGTGCGGGTATGAAAATTTTTTTGATTTGCAACTTTTTTTCATTGAGAGTTTATTCCGGTTGGCAGTTTTTATTGAAAATTTTTTTCTATGCTCTTGTTCCTAGAAAATATACTGCATATATCTATGGATTTGATAGAAGTACAAAACTCGTAAAAATGTAATTTAAAAAAATCTCTTTTTTAATTAACAAACTTCATAAACTGATTTCATTCTGGGCATTATCAACGAGTATCAAAATGCCCAAATGGTCTTGAGTTTGAAAGCACGCATTACACGATTGGAAATGCGCATGTTAATTCCTACGCTTTTAGGGTCAAAGTTTTACAAGATTATCCAGTTACTGTGCTGCCAATTTTCGGAATTCGTAGAATTAACGGGTTTTCGATTGTTTTATCATCGGCGCTGTGTCAACTATAGCTTACATTTTTGCTTGGTTTTTGTTCAAAAACTGTTCTTTTTTATTTTGATCAACAAAAAAGGAAACTAACTTTGTTTTCAACCGCGCAAAATCAAGCATAGCTTAAAAAATTACGAATTGAAAGGGATATACCATATTTAACCAACCACAGCTCAACTGCAAAATAAAATCTTCTAGTATCTAGAAAATTGGTTTCTAGAAAAACTGGTTTCTGATGAAAAAATGTTACAACGATTTACACTTTATATACCAGCACAACGAACAACATACGAGCTAATCAGCTTATTACGGCGAACTATTGTAGTGCCCCTGGTTAAGAAGTACTATCAATTTTTTGGCTAGTTTTCTGGGCAGGGAAATGCTGCCTCTCCATCAAGCACTGAGCACGGATCATCCTGGGCCTCAATTATCTGACCATTTGATTGAGTGGCTGAGATACGTAAGCACTTCACACCCGTTCCCCAATCACTAGTTGGCGTCGTTTGATATATCAAATAACACTTTTTTTAGCTGTTTTTCGATACGTATTTCATTATTCCCAAACTCTTTTAGTTTTGAGAGCAACCAATGGGCACCTTTTGCATTTTGAAACAATTTACAGCAAAAATTTTGGATTTGAGTCTTTTCATTTTCATGCAGAACACTTTAATCTACTGTCGTATTTGAAAGTAATAGTTGTAATATAAACTTGAATTAAAAAATTAATTATTTTTTGAGAGTATGATTTCATATCCTAATATCTATAAAATTTAGTTCAGAGGAATAATAAATACGGGTGTAGTCAAGATATTGTTATCTGATAATTGTTATTGTTCCGAATTCCGAGGAATATATACGCCTGGGGTGATTTTTTTATTCAGACTGATTTTAGAAAAATTTACTGCACAAAGGCATCAATCCGAAAATCTTGTGATTGCCAAGCGAGTAAGATTGCCTCGAAGAATCATATCTTGAAAAGCTGGCTTAGATAAATTTGCTTTTTCGAAAACCATTTTGGTCTATGAAAAAATTTGGACTATTTGTTGGTTGAAGTTTCATCGGTCGAATGGCACCAATAAAAAACTCAATTTTTTCGCTATCCAATTTCCCTTATGATTTAAATTGAAATAATTGTTTTTAGGCAAGCTATTCCAGTTTTGGAGTGCTTAATTATTTCAAATCATGAAGTAAATCGGATAGCGAAAAAAAATTAGTTTTTATATTGGAGTCATTCGATCGATGAAACTTCAACCGATGAATAATTCAAATTTTTTCATAGACCAAAATTCGGTCTTTGAAATTTCTTGAATTCTTTCAGAGTTTCATTGCTGGAATATCTTGCTTAGAAAAACTTAAGCATTTTGCGAATCCATCAGCTATTTTGTTGCCGTCCAAATCGCTTCATGAATTAACTTGAAATTCTTCGAAGTTTGATAGCTGAACCAGCTGGTGAATAAAAATTTTGAATAAAAAATTGTTCTTTAAAATTTAAAGTTTTCCGGGCCAATTTACGATATGGATTAACTTAAAGCAAGAACTGATTTTCTGCGAGCCATTTGAGTGTTGGAGACAAGCTTGCTAGTCTGAATAAATTGCGCAGCAAGCGGCTATTCTCTTTTAGTATTTCTTCGTACATTTTTGGCGATGCGAAATCATTTGGAAATTTTTCAGAATGTCGTAGATCCTTGATATTTGCTCATTTCAGGTTTGCTCTTTGAACTTAGAGTCCTATGGGCTCAGGACTGATGATATACAACTGAACTGGCTGGATGAGGGTTCTCTATCCCCACCAGGCGATGTCGGAACAGAATTTTTTCTGATAAATATGAGACTGAGTAGCTATGTTCTTCACTTTTCGACTGGGGAGTTTAGTGTTCTAACTGTAAGTATATGTGGCTGCAGCCAAATCTCAAATAAGAACGACAGAATCATTAAAAGCTTTTGGCGAAACAACCTCTTTCAATTTTTTTTTATAAATAACGATGCTTATCATGCTTCTTCCTCTAAAATATTTGATTGGCTAAGATAAATATAGGTTCTTCCCTTCTTCGGTTATGATAATTTTACAGGTTTTCTTGGTTATGTTTTTTGTTAAGCAATGGCTCTTTTGCTTTTAACTGCATTCAGTTAAGTTTAATTTTTGAGTTGCACGCAGTAACTTTAAAAATATCATATGAGCCGACGTACGAATCTGCTGTCGTACGAATGAGCCGACAAAAGTTTTTGCTGAAAATAATGCCAACTTTTGCCTTGTTTCTGATGGTTATATGAAGAAGTTTTCTAGGCTATTTTTGCAACATTAAAAAAGCAAAATACGGCGTTCTTAGGCACTTCGTGGAAAATTTGACCAAACTATTGCATTTTCGGCCGACTCGCGCTCTGTTGCCAAATAAGTATATGTTGGGAGCCGAACAAACAATTTTAAGGTCATTAAATGGTCAGCACAAAATTATAGGTTTCAGCGAAAATCAGAACATTCCAACTGATACAAGCCCAAATACTATACAATGGCTGATAGATTATTTTCTGTCAAAAACTTAAGTAACTGGTATCTCAATTTAGCTGAAGCATAATTTACTTTTTGCAAAAACGACATTTTTGGATTTCAGCTTGAATTATACGTGAGCCGGCTGCTTCTGGCCAATGCGCTACAGTTTTATTTTCCCGCTCTGCTCATAGTGACAATTTCTTGGCTTGGTTTTTGGATCGACCCACATCACGTGAGTGGACGAAGCTTGGTCGTCTTACTCTCCACTCTCGCCCTTCTTCTGTCGTTTCTGAATTTTCAGATGAGCCTCAAAAACATCAATCACGTCACAATGTGTCACATGTTCTATCTTCTAAGCTTCTTCTATATAGCACTGGTCGTTCTGGAATACATTGCAGTCGTGTTGTTTACCCAGCGAGCAGCCAATCACAAGAAAAATGATGAAGATAAATTGGGAAACTCTCGGTGGTCGGAAAGAATTGACCTATTTTGCAGAATAGTGTTTCCAGTGACCTACTTTCTCCTTCTGTTTGTTCACATTTGTCATATCCAGGGTTCAACAGATGAATACTGATTTGATTATTTAATCAAAATTGAATAATTTAAAAATTGATAAGAGAGTTGATTATGGTCAGCAGATTATTAAATTGATTGATTCGTTGACTGGTCTTTAAACTGAAACGTTTTGCTAGAAACAAGCATGCTGATTCAGCCTCTCTTTTTCTCTTTTCTCAATAGCAAGAGACAAAGAATGAAGTTTAGTGGTTAAATTGCCAGTCTTCTGAATTTAATTTCATAAATGAAAATTTAACCAATGCATGTTTGCTTGCTATGATCTACAGGGCTAAAGCGTATACCCCCAGGTAAAAAGTATAAATGACAGTTGTAGTGATGTGGAAAAAAGAGCAGATTTTGTTCAATCATATCGATCAAACGACTTATTTGATAGCGTCCTCAATACAAAAGAAAATCTGCTAGAAAAATCAGCATTTACTGTGAACAAACTTTGGTCTTGAAGAGAACATCTGAATCAATTTATCAAATAATCTAGTATGAAAAAGGTGTTGCTATTTCGTTGAGAGCCGTGAGCTTCCATTAATTGATTTCGATTTTAGCCATTCAAAACAAAGTCATAAATCAATAAGCCACTCAGTTTTTTGAAAACATTTTCTTCAACCGAGAACCGCTCTTTTTTCAATTACACAAAATGAACAAAAATGTTTGCTCACGACTCGTTGTTTGCTCACGAAACTAACGTTTGAAAATAAAATTCTCTAAGCAAATTTAAAAAATGTTAAACGTTTTATTAAAACAAACAAGGAAAAAGTATAATATTTTGCAGAGACAAAAATCAAAATTGAGAGCCCATATTTTTTTTCTTCAATTCAGTATCGTTTAGCAAGAAAGCTGAGATCTGTTAGATGACAATCGGAAAAACTATTAAGATTTCGTAATAAAATTAACTCTTTTTTCAGCAAAATTATGCTGAAACTAATGGAGTGAGTTATGACCCATTTGGTTAAACTCATAGAGTAATTTCAGATAAGGTACACCGTCTGCTCGTCACGCTCATATTTTCGGCCGGATAGATTCGTGCAACTTCTTAGTCTAATACCGATCATACTCTTACTCTTAAATCTCCTAGTCTCAATAGATCTAGTGTATATTGGTTTATGCGAGTTAGTTTCCAGAAAGAGAACAACTGTACTCTAATTTTATTTCAAATTACTCTGGTGCTGAAACTACAAGTAGTTTCAGCACTTACAAATAAGTGTAAAGGTTAGAGATGGAATATGATTGGTTAGTTAGGAATATTTATATGAATAGAGAAACATATTTATAACCAATTATAATTTCTAGTTTAGAACTGGTTCCACCCATCCGGGGCTTAGAGAGTTTTTAGTTTCTAAATGTTTAAAGTAGTGAAGGACGGGTGATGTAGTTTCTTTGAAGTTGCAGCATTGACTTCTCGGAGAAAGGAGAAGTGTGGCTGTTCGTGTTTGACGGAGGGAGATGGTTATGTTTGTATGTCTAGATGGGTCTCGTTGATCGTGGTAGTCTTGGGTGATTGTGTCAAGACTTCTGATCGATGTAATGATGTATCGAGTCCGTTAGGTTTAGATCGAGACAACGTGCAGAGTGAAGTTTGACTTTTCCGTGTGAAGTGCCAAGTGACTAGGATCTGTATTGAGATGGCCATTGGTCTGTTTCAATGGTTTCCTTTTGCTGCGGTGTTTGAGTCCATACTTTAAATCCTTTGAGGTAGTGACTTTAGGCAGCAAATCGAATATATTTGCCATTCCGAAGCTGGAATGTGATTAGATTGTCGTCTCCTTTGCTGCTCGTCTTTACGAAATCTATACATACTGCGTTTATCAATTGCATATACAATTTCCTTTGTTAGTTTAGTTTTAGTTACGATTTGTTATTAATGGTTATCGCAAAAGCGTTCTGATATTAATGCAGTTATTTTTTAAGAGTCGCTCACCCTAGAGCAAATCTTGGCAAAAATAGAGTGTGGGTCACAAAACGTGGCTGTAGCGTGGTGGATTAGGCCGGCTATAGAGCATCAGGACGTCCCTCTGGTTGGTGAGGCCAGGAGTGGGGTATACTTTTAAGATATCTTTGTGGAGAGTCCCTTTTTGTGTTCAACCTTTTGTTTCTTTTTCCTTACCTTTTTTTCTCTTTTTTGTTTGGTTGTCTTTTTCTCAAAAATCTAATCTTTTGGTTTGGTTCTGTTTTTTGATTTTTTTGTGTTCTATTCGATTGTGTTAAGACGTGAAAGTGTTCTTCAAAAGAATAATTTATCCAGTTTTAATCTGGTTTGGGTACCGTGGGGCTTTCCTTCTTAGTCATGCTATTAGTTTGTGGTTTTGTGACGTTAGTAAGCTGCGTTAGTTATTGTAGTTTACTAAATAATTCCATCCAACCGGGTTAAGGGAAAGTTTGAAACGTGTGAAAACTGGTTAGAGTTGTTATCAGTGAAAATTGAAACTTAAAAGTCAATTTTTAAACAATTCTTCGGGGCGAGCTGTGCGATTGTGGAAAGAGTTTTATGGGCAAGTGAATGATTTAAGTCTTATAAAAGAAGCCTTTTGTGAAAAAATTAGTTCTTTTTTTAATTTATCTGCAATTTTTTATGAATTTACTGCATTGAAATTTTAATTTTACTGCTTTTGGGGAATTTAATTTATAAATTTACTGCCTGGTAAAAGGAAGCTTATTGCATTTGGGATTATTTATCAGATTATTTATTTTGTTCGTTTGTGTTAAGGCTTGAAAGTGGTCTTCAAAAGAATAGTTTATCCAGTTTTAGGCTGTTGTTAATCTGGTTTGGGTACCGTGGGTTTTTTTCTTAATCATGCTTTGAGTTGGGGTTTGTTGTGTTAGTAAGATGCGTTGGTTAGGTCAGTTTACTGTATAATTCCTGTCCAACCGGGTTAAAGGAAATTTAGAAACCTGTGAAAACTGGTTAGAGTAGTTATCAGGTAGCATTTAAACTAGAATTCATTATTTAAAACAATTTTTCAAGGTCGAGCTGTGCGATTGTGTATAGAGTAGTGGGCGAATCAAAGATTTTAAATCATAAAGAAGCGTCTTTTAAGAAGTTAGTACTACTTTGCATTTATCTGCAATTTTATTAAATTACTACATTGAAATATCAATTTTACGGTTTTTGCGGAGTTGATTATTTAATTTACTGCTTATTATAAAATATTTTTACTGCATTTAGGAATATTTATCAAATTACTCCTGTTTGGGGTTAAATTTTACTGCTTTATTTAAAACATTTTTGCAATTTGTTAATATGAAGTTTAAATTTGTAGAAGGAAGTTTTCAATTTTTCATTTGTGTTTCCTCTTGACTTAGATGGTTGTGCGATGAAAGCAAACAAAAAAAGAAAAATTTATTTTAAAAATGGTTAGTTTTTGTTCTAATTTGTTAGTATAAATTATTTAGTTCATACTTACCAAATCATCGGTAAAAAATCTATAGAGAAAGACGTCGTGGATGATATCTGATGATGTTAGAAGTTTAGCTAGTAAGCAAGTGATGTGTTTAGTTTGAAGAAGTGGCCCAAAACAATTCGAGTACTTTGATAATCTTGTGCTCTTCAGTGCTTGGTGAAAATTCATGCGGTGTGTTTCGGATTAGGTTATAAAGCTTGTGATTATGTTTAATGTTATGAATGTATTCTAAGATTGGGACTTCAACGGGCTGTATATATTCGTGAGGGACGATTGGAGGACGGGATTCATCAAAAATAAAAGTTCTGGTTAGTGGGCAGAATATATAATTTTGTCGGATAGGGTTGTAGTATCTAAGGATTCCTTGCATGTTAGTATCTTTATTACAATATGTGAAGTTCAAGAAGAATGGTGAAGTGTAATTGGAGTTAAAAAATTGAAATCGATGGTGTGGGTTTTGTGATGGTGTATTAGTTGTGTAATGGTGTTGTATGAATTTAAAGTAAGTGTATGTGTGTATGTGTTAACAAAAATTTGATGTGAGCAGTGTAAGTCACGTTCTTTGGTTGTTAGGAAATTGAAGGTTAATGAAAAATGGTTTGATTTACTGAAATAAGAGCCGTAAGTTTTTGTGTCGCGAAGTGATGTAGATATAATGTGATATTATTTTTTATTCATGCAGATGATAGTAAACACATATAGTTATTTGATGAAAAATTTTTGCAGTTAAATGGGGGTCAGCGTTAGTATCGTCATCTAAAAATTATCTTCATTAATCGTGCAGGGACGTGATCATAATGGTTAATAGAAAACCAGTTAGCCTTTTGTGCAGTGAATCTAGTTAGTGTTTGGTTCAATCCGATGGTTGTGAATTGTTTTTCGTGAAGTGCTGTGATTAGGTGATATAATCTAGTTTGACATAATTCATTGTCGTCTGGAATATTATATAGTGGAAGTGATAGTGGGTTATTGAAATAAAAATGTGTGGTCCATGACAGTGTGGGGAACAAGGCATTTTCGTTGACGTAATTCGATTGATCGTTGTTAGGAATTGAGTGATAGTCAGCGTAAAGTGGAAAGAATGGCAAACACACTTGGAGAAATTCTTTTGTGATTGTTTGAAGCGGATGATCCGTAAATGTTTGGGCTGGTCGTGGATTAGAAGGGAATGGGTATTGGGGAGTTTTCGTTTAAGTACTCGGGGGGCTCGAGTTTCTCCAGTAGTGGATGAGGGGTTGGAGGATTATGAGGATGTCATGGTTTGTGAGAGGTGATGAATAGTTAGTGTGTTAGGTTGTTGTAGCTGTTGTTGAAGGGTTATGAAGATATCTAGTTCGTTTCGAGCTCAGTATCAACGGGGCTCGAGTGGTCAAGTGGGTCGCTGGTCATTGGGGAGTAGATTGGTGTTGCATCAGTGTAGGAAAAAGGGCTGAAGAAGGCTCATCGGGAACTTGGGTATGTAGTGGTTGAAAGGGGGGCTGGGAAAATGTGAATGGGCAAGGCTCGGAGTCTGCAATTTCATCTGGGGTTTCAAAATCAGAGTTATTAAATTGTGAAAGTGTGTGAAAAACAGTGTTTGTGGAAGTGTCGTCTGAATAATCCATGCTTGGTGACTTTTAGTATATGATGGTTCAGTGAAGGGAGTGAAATCAAAAAGTGGTAGAATTTGAGAGTGACGTTGGAGGTTGGATGGGTAATGAAAGGGAACGGTCGAAAGATCCAATCTGGCGGCTCATCATAGGCTAAAAAGGTGGTTGTTTTGAGAATGGACATTATTGGTATGTGACTGTTCTATAATTTTTCATACAATCATTGTAAATTTGGTTGCTGTGCTACAATGTGAGTAACTCGACTTCGTGGATATCTCTGAATTGTAGAGATGTGCTCTGTTAGGGTTATATTCCTGTAATTTCCTGGTACTAAAGAT